ACTGCCTCACCCTCTCCTTATCCTTCCCCATACTATCCTCAAGCGCCTCCTCAATATTACACGTCCGATACTCGACCTTGAAGCTCCTCCCATGCATACCGGGCAGCTTCCCGTGCGCAAACTGCTTCCACCACTCGAGAACATCAATGTACTGGTGTATCGTCGCCTGCACGAGCGCGTCCTCCTCGCTGACAATCTTCTCGTCGCCTTTAAGCTGACGCCAGAGTTCCAGGATCTCGACGTGGCCCCAGCGGCTGGCGATGGTGGGTACGCTGTCCGAGGCGCACACGGGGATGCCGGACGTGTGCCACCACCGGAGGACCTCTAGTCGGCCGTTTTGCGTGGCGTATTGGATGGATCGTCCGGGGCGGAGGACGACCCTCTCGTCGATGGTGGCTGCTAGACGCCACCATTCTAATACGGCGAGGTAATTGTTGCCGCTTGCTTGCTCGAGCGCGGCCTCTGAGTATTTTAGTGGTAGATCGGCATCGCGCAGCCACCAGTCTAGGACTTCGATATGGCCGTTGCTTGAGGCGCCGTCTATTGCCTCGTGTGTGTAAGCCCGGTTCCTCTTGAACCAGTTGCTGTCTCGCCAGTAATCTAGGACGGCTATTTGGGGATAATATACGGACGCCGTGTACGGCAGAATCGTGCCGTCGAACCCCACCATGAATAATTCCGGTTTGTTCTGTTCGAGGTAGGATAGCACATCAACGAGGGCGAATCGAATGATGAGCTTGACTATGAGGGCTGAGAGATACGTAAAACGAGGCGGCGCCTGCGCTAGTTTGTTGCAAATCTCCTTCGTATTGGCCTTGAGTACAGTCCACTCCAGCTCCCGCTCGTATATCTTTATGGGGTCGTCGGTCGCCGGGTCCGGAACTGCACGACTACTCCAGGAAAGCGGCATCGGGAGCGACGTCTTAATTCCCAACGCCTGCGCAAGTTCCCAGTCTCTTGTCTGTTCTAGTATCATGATCCACAGCTCCGGTGGTAGCCGAACGGTCGTCTTTTTGGCGCCGAGCAATTCGTTGGGGGCTCGCGGCATGTCCTCGAGGTCGTTCCCGATAGTCAAGAGTTCGGCCTGATTTGCAATTGTATTGACCACGTCGTTGAAACCTTCCCAATTCACACCACATCGGCTAGGGCCCTCAAAGTGCCATATGATGGGCGGCATGATCCGTACACATTTCCACTTCCGCTGGATCTTGTCGAGATGTCTCTTCGTAATTGGGTTTTCCCAGCAATGTCTGCTCATACCGGGCGCCAGTATAATCTTCTTCGACATATCCCAACCCCGCAAAACTTCGAGAATGACTGTATTATCCGTGATGCCTGCGAGCATTTTGGCGATCCCATCGGCGCTTAGAGGTGCGAGAACGAGGAGGTCCGCCCACTCGATCAACTCGGAGGCATTGCAATCGTTCGACTCGAACGGGCTACCGGCTCGCTCGGTCGGGTTGTTGTCATTTATTCGAGAGTATGACGCTCGGTCTGTGGTGCCATGGTTGGGCATTACCGCCACCGTCTGAGATATTCTTGCCGTGACATCGTCGAGGACGGCGCGCATTCGGATATGTTGGTTCTTGGAGAGGCGTACGATGACGGCCTCAGCCCATGACGTCTCTCTAGACCCTGTCGCGGCGACAAGGACATTTAGTTGGCCGGTTCGGGGGCGAGGGTTCGTCGAGGGTGGCGTTGAAGAGACGGTTATCGTGGAGGGGTAATACCCTCCCACTTTACGACTCTCCATGGGTGGAAAAAAAAAAAAAAAAAGGCAAGGGTGTATCGTCACGTTTCTGCTAGGGTGGAGGAGAGGGGTTCATACATGACCCCCGATGTGAAGAACATGCTTTCCAGTTCTTGGTCGTAAAACAAGCTCGGATTCGGGCGGAAATGATATGACGAGACGAAATAAATGAAATCGACAGATGTCTAGTGCCCCTCGTAGAATTAAAGTTGTTCTAGACTTGGGTTGGACTTTCCTATCGGGTATCGAGATGACTAATCACATATTTGCGATTGAACGAATGAACGAATTGGACCGGGACAGATGGATGTAGGGACGAAGATGGTTGTATTGGGATCATCAAGGGCAAAAAAGGAGGTAGTGGGAAACATTCTCCTTTATTCTCCCAAGTTTGATGACTTCATGATATTCAAAATGCTTAGCAAAATCGCTCTCGCCATCACCGTATCAGTCACGTATCTCGGCGCCTTCAGCCGCTTCACCCATGGTCGCTACACGCCTGCGTTCTATGCATACCAACTTGACCGAGCTCCGGATGTCGAATCGACAATGATTGTGCCGTATATAGATGCAACGCTCGGCACGCTTCTGCTCTTCAAGGAGACGCGAGTAGTAGCATCTCTTGTGTGTGTTGTGTTCCAAGGTCTCGGTGTCATCCTGAGGTTCAAGGATGGCAAATCTCCACTCCCAGACATATGCCTGTGCTCAATCGCGATGGGGACCTTCTTGAGTTCCGCCCTTTAAGGGACGTGCTGGGTGGAGGTGGGTTGTGTAAGTCCATTTCTTGGCATCTGCGACTTTGCGGCCATTTCTAATGACGATGCTAACGGCCCAACTGCATTCTCAGTATTAGATTGGCGATTTCGTCTCCGTTGGCTTTCGATTTAATAAACACTGCGATGCAAAACCAGATTCGGCTCAATTGGCCGGCATACACCAATTTGATCCCTCAGTCGATAGATTCGTCGAAAATAACTGGCATAGTGAAGCTTTAAACGGGCCTTGTTGATGCGTATTATTTGAACGTCTAAAACTGCCTTTAAATCAATCCGCTAAAATATACATGATGGCTAGACTAGTTATTAGTCCTAACCTCCCGGCTTCTATTTGATGAGCTGCCCTCGATTCGCTGCCACCTGTGGCTGTCGGCGAGTTCTCGTTCGGTTTCGTAGAAGATGCAATCGTTGTGCTCGTCTTGTTAGACTCATTATCATCGTCGTCGTCATTCGGATCAACACATTTCTGGTCCGGAGCACACATCTGCCCAGCCGGACAATAAAACCCATCGCAGCAAGTCTCGCCCTTCGGCATACAACTCGTGCCGCATGCCTCGAATGGCCCATCACACTGAGCGGAGGTGCCGCTACCCCCCCCACCTGTCAAGTTGCCTCCGTCCGTCATCGTCGCCACCGCACACTCAAATTCCGTTCGACCACAGGCATAGCTCGGCGGACAATGGTATGTCTGGCAACAGATTTGACCCGAGGGTATGCACCCAATCCCGCATATCGTCTCGTCCGACGTGCATCCCGTAGTCCCACGCCCATCGGCGCATAATCCTCTATCTGTACAAGTCGTTCCGGCCCCGCAATAGTAGTTATCGCCCGCACAGCACGACGCCCCCCGAGGCATACATTTATTCCCACAGAGAACGTGGCCATCCGGGCACGAAGATATTGGGCCGGAACAATCCTGTCCCGTCGGACAACAACCGCCATTTTGGCAAAAGGTCCCCGAGTTACACCACCCTCCGTCGCCGGCGTTGCAGCATTGTCCTCCTCGGGGAATGCAGCCTTCGTCGCAATTATTCGCGTCTGCGCCGCATGATCTTCTCGTTTGTTGCCGGATTATTAATGGTGTGGAGGGAGATGTGTTGCCTTCGGGCAATGTCGATTCGAGCATTCGGAAGGGGAGGTTCATGGGGAGGAGTTGCGCCCTGGCAGTGCCCATTGTCAGGGCGACTAACGTGAGTAATAACCGTCGCATTGTATCTTGTTTTCTGTTTTGAAGAACGAGTTCTTGAGGTTTAACGCCGTCTCTGGCTAGGATGGATGGGCCATGGTTTTAACGGAGAGGAAAGCTGGTCAACCCAGAAGAGCTGCCCATATGGAGCTGACTCTAGCTTCGGGGTTCGCCTTAATATGGAAAGGCAAAAGTCGAACTGGTCCACCTTGCCATAGCTCCGGGCGATTATAATGAACATCCTTACAATTAATAGCCTTAGATATTACCCGATATTGTGGTGCTTCTTGTTCTTGCTACGTTCGAATAATCCCGGATAAGCTCCTGAGGATCAAGGATATGAAAGAGAAGATCCAATCGCAGGCTTTCCTACGGAGGCACCTCTCGCTTTTCTCTGGCCACAGTATGCAATTCCATCCAAGTTAGGAAAGATGATGTGTTTGCTCTTTTGTGATGGTGGGGTGAATCGGAAACCCTGCAGATGCAGACGGGAGGCTGTCGCCACGAGTCAAGAGGCGAGATGCCGTGTGCTGGGCCCCGGTATTGTGAGGTGGTCTTCCGGATTAGTTCCACCCAGCAGCGCGGTGATTTGAATTTCGGAATTAGGGATCAAATTGATGGTCTGCATCCAAAGTTGAGGCTGAAGATCTGACTACACCTCCCCTAGCGAGCAGCCACATTTACCTTGAATCGCATCGTGTGTTGATAATATTGCCCAAGTCGAGGCTTCACCACAGAAACGCAAGCACGAGGCCTTCTAGAAGACTTCCGGCATATAACTAAACACTTTAATAGCTACCCATTCGGCCCTCGCCGTGTTTTGGTCGGGCGGCACTGCCGAGGTAGTGATGAAACATGAATTCACTGGGCACGGCATGAAGACCCAGGGTTCGAGAGTTGTTAGGACCAGGAAATGTGAACCACAAGTTCTCAACGTCGGGTCGGCGACGTCGCGATTCGTCGAAACGGGGCGAAAATCATAGGAGACAACACAAAAAGTTGCCACAGTTTCCGTAACTATCTTTTTGCCGTCCTAGCCTTGATTTGGTCTCTTCTCTCCAGGCTCTGGAGAGTCGAGTTGAGCCTATATTATTTCCAGAGGCAAGGAGTGACGTTTTGAGTGTGAATCAAATGTGTTAGATGCATATTCCATTAACGGGCAATTCGTTATTAATCTAAACGTTAATCTCAGCAACCATCCTCCTAGATGCATGTCCCCCACAATTCCATTTTTAGTTCCAGCTTTTTTTAAGGTCCTTCATCATCGGTATAAGAGCCCTCCGAACCAATGGGTAAAGTCTCTAAGGATAAGCGCGATGCCTACTACAGGCTCGCAAAGGAGCAGGGATGGCGCGCAAGAAGTGCGTTCAAGCTTCTGCAGTTAGATGAGGGTATGAAGCAAGATTTCTCCCAAGCCCCCCCCCCCCCCCCCCCCCCACTTGCCTCATCCAGCTCACTCGAGACCTAACCTAATCTTACACAGAATTCGACCTCTTTTCTAATGTCACGAGGGTGGTGGATCTTTGTGCGGCGCCGGGGAGCTGGTCGCAAGTTCTTTCTCGCGTGCTCATCAAGGGCGAGAAGTTCGGGAGGGCAGCCTGGCAGGATCGCGAGGCAAAACTTCGTCAACAGATGTTAAACCTCTTCCTGACAGAGGAGCAGTCAACCCCATCAGAAGGCGGTTTGGTAAACGCAGGTGACCCAGTTTCGGAAAGCGCCTCGGCGCAAGAGCCCCAACCAAGAAGAGATGTCAAGATCGTGTCCATCGACCTACAGCCTATGAGTCCGCTCCAGGGCATCATCACATTACGAGCAGATATTACTCACCCCGCAACGGTACCCCTCCTCCTCAAAGCCCTAGATCCAGACTACGATCCCAAGACCATGAGCCAGCAGGCGGCGCAGCCCGTGGACCTCGTCATCAGCGACGGCGCCCCCGACGTTACCGGTCTGCACGACCTCGACATCTACGTGCAATCTCAGCTACTCTTCGCCGCCCTTAACCTTGCCCTATGTGTGCTAAAACCGGGCGGTAAGTTCGTGGCCAAGATTTTCAGAGGCCGAAACGTCGACCTCCTCTACGCGCAGATGAAAATCTTTTTCGAAAAGGTGGTCGTTGCGAAGCCGCGCTCTTCAAGAGCAAGCAGTGTAGAGGCGTTCATCGTGTGCGTCAACTTCCGACCTCCTCCGGGATTCAAAGCTAGTCTGGAAGATCCGCTGGGTGTAGGGCACAAGTTATCACGGCTAGCAGACGAGCGGAGGAGTCAGTTTCCTATTATCGCCTCCTCGAGCATGCAGGATCCTGCCACGGGAAGGTGGGACAGCGCGCCTGTGTCGGCGTCCTCTCCTTCACCAGAGGGCGCAGTGGAAGTAGAAGCATTTGATGAGCAGGTGGAGGAGAATGAGAGACGGGGGAACAGGTGGGTTGCTCCTTTCCTGGCGTGCGGGGATTTGTCTGCGTTTGATTCGGATGCGTCATATCGTCTTCCCGAGGATCACGTATCTCTGGATCCCGTCCAACCACCTACGGCGCCGCCTTATAAACGAGCAATCGAGCTGAGGAAGGCTGCGGGCGGAGCTCACGGGAAAACGGTCAAAGCTTAATAGATTTTTTTTTTTCTTCCTCGTGTTATTGGATGTTCCCCTCACTGAATCTTTGGCTATACCCGGCCAGCTGGTCCTTTTTTCTTCAGTAATGTCAACCCGCCTGACGTGCTCCACTCATCAACGCCCATGGCATTCTTATACAACATCGCAGCTCTACTATCCATTGTGAAGAGCATAAATTGCCTCAGGAACGGCCACTCGTCCAGCGTTTCGGAGATGCATGCCATCATCCACTTGGCCAGTCCCTGACCACGGAACTCATCCAAGATATACACGTCAGTGAGATATCCAATAGTTACATAGTCCGTGACGACTCGACTCAAGCCTATCATCTGCCGTCCGTCCAATGTGTCTAATTATGTATGTGACATATCAAATATTAGTAAAAATCCATTCTTCAGCACGCCATCGTCGAGATAAGGAGAAGCACTATTTTTCATGGGGATTATTGCGGGGAGGTTTGCGGGTTGGGTTACCGGTTGCGGAGTCGGATTCTCCCGTGGCGTTCAGGCGGTAGAGGCCAAAACACAAGGAGCTAATTATTGAGGCCTTCAAGGTCTCGATGGGGAGCGGGACGGCCCAGGGCGTGAAGTCTGCGGCAAAGGCCGCATTGACTGCGTCAAGGTCTATGAGAGCGCGATCGGTCGATATGAGAAAGCCGTCCTTGCGCCATTCTCTTGGTGTCTGATGCGGCATGGTAGATTGCGGGAAGTGAAGTGCGATGACGGCCCAGAAAGAAAGAAAACTTGCTCACGGGATCTCACTTAGGCTTGGGGACGGAATGGCTGGACTGAGAACGCTGGCGGTTTAAGTATCGTAAAGGATTGATTGTTTAATTACAGCATCGAGTCATCTTGATGGTGGCAGCACGATTGAAATATTGGGGGAAATATACCCCACATCTAGTTTGGGGATCAATGGACGGGGAACTGAAAATAAAGAGCGCGATCAAAATATCGGCGAAATGAGTCAGAAATCGCTCGTCAGTGACGCCCTTTTCTCGTTGGGGAAGCGCTCTGGCAAGTCTAACATCAATTGATGGTCGTATTCGGGGATTTGATACGGAGTAGTGTACGGAATCATCCTGCGTATAACACACAAGAAGGGATCTGGACGAGGGACATACATAACTTTACGGTTTGCTCATTGCAAAATAATACTAGTTTAGCGACCGACAACTTCGAATCACTTTCAGCAGGCTGCAGAATGTCACTCATCAAATAGAACGCAGTACCTTACATCGGCCAGCCAAGGTTCTAACCCAGTTGCTTGCAGCGCAGATATATGTCATTTCAAAATAGATATCAGTCGAACCCAACATCAATAACGTAGCCTATCTCCTCCTTCGCTGAATTTCAAGGTTCATTTGGCGGTTTCTGCCCATATACAACATGACTGGTTCCAATCCCATCAGCTTCAGGCCCATTCCTCGCAAGACGTGAATTAGACAATAAGACACCGAGACTTACAACTTGATATACGAATGAAATTCTCGGCTCTTCAGCTCCTTTCGGACCCGCGCGAGCATGAGCGTGACCTCCTCCTCAGTGTATCCCAGCATCATGAGCGCCTTGAGAGAGGCATCGAGGCCATCAAGAGTTTGCACAAGATTCATCATGCCAATCTCCTTTAGCCTGGGGTCCTTGGGCCACGGTCCGAGTGGCACCTTGATTACTTCCTCATGCGTGTTGATGAAGCCGGCCGTCTTAGCACGATCGAGGAGCTTTGGGCCTGGGTAAGCATTGCGGTTGATGCTATCTAGTACTCCGAGGAAGCTTGTACACCATTGATGGGTTACGTGCTCCGCCGTCAAGGTCCCATCATCCGAGGCGCATCGCAAGTCCCAGTCTTGGAACTCGGCCCACCCGCCAGGAGTTATGTTGCTGGAATTGCGTCGAATATCAGTTCAGATGATTTCCTCTAACAGGTAAAAGGAGAAAAAGTCTAGCCTACTCATATATGCTCTTGAAGAGCTTAGGCCAGTCCCCAATAGAGCCAGCCATATAGCGGCACATGATGAAGTCGAAGGTAAAGTTGTAGGTCCATTCGCTCTCGACGTCATCGACTTCGAACTTGACGTTTGGAGGCACCCTTGGGTAAATGTTAGTGCTGGGTTTTTCCCTGGTGATAAAATGGAGGGTCTACGCCCGTACCAAGTTGGCTGAATCGGACTGAGGTCACACCCGATAACCTGTATTTGACATTTGCGGTGTTAGACGGAGACACTAAGCTTGAGATTTTGTCTCCAGACGGGAGAAGCTGTAGTACCTGTGCGCCTGGAAGTAAGTCGCCCATCTCTATCGCCCCTATACGTGGTATATTGTAAGTAGTCACTCCGCAAAGACTGCCGCTGAGGGCACAAACATACAGGCGCCGGTTCCAGTCCCAATATCTAGAACTTTGTGAACTTTCTTTTCATCAATCGGGGCATGGTACAGTCGATTGCCTAGGCTTCTCACCATTACATGGTGGAACAGGTCTAGACGTTCCGATTCTCGCTTTCAGAAGTCTGCCGTTAATATCTTAATGATCACTTTGATCCAGGTTAACCTCACCTCGTCATTGGGGAAAACATAGGCTACATATCTAGATATCAGTAGGGATAAAAGCTACAAAGGGACGTAAAACGACATACACCCCTTTCGGAAGGCATGGTATCGGCGACCGTGCTCAACAGGATAATCAAGGACGCTGGAGGATAGGGATGCAGTGAAAGTGGTCCTATGATGTTCCTTATCAGCTGAAGTCGAAGCGAAGACTGAATGCCGTTGGTGCGGGACAGCTTACAATTGCTCCTCGAAGGTGGGATCATCGACCGTGTCCTAACCAAGGAGGGACAAGGTCAGTAACGGCGTGTTCAAGTATGTAGGGGCGACGCACCCGATCAACTTCGATGGGTACGATCTCAACTGTAGGAGAGGCAGCTGTGGTAGCAGGAGCTGCGGATCCGGCCGGAGCGTCCGCCATTTTCCCGTCTCGATCTGATATAGTGAGGGATATCCGAGAAAGGTGTGTTGGGAGTACGAGAGCCCTGTAGTCGTACCTCTGCGATGAGTCTCTTCTATTGCGGCGAACCGTTAGGCATTCATGAAGGCTGTCCTTAGTACTGGTGGCGCTTTACCTCTCAGTTAGTAGTATCTAGTTTCTACCACTTTTATTCTTTGAAGGAGCAAATATGAAGGTAGAAACTGATCCAACATGAATCTCAACTTTCGGGAGGGGCTTTCCCCGAAAGTGGTCCGATCTTTGAGTTCGTTGTTCCAACACGCATATTCCTTCCATTCCTATTAGTGAAGAGAGGTGCCAAGACTCTTCAAGGCGACAAAATGGTCGACGACCAACATCTCTGTTGGAAGCTGCCACACCGTTCGGATCCAAGGGCAAGCTTTAACCTCGTCGTAGAAGCCTTCAAGTTCTCTTCATCCATGTCGAAATCCGGTGTATTCCGCATGGTGATGGCTTCTTCCACTCACCACCGGGATCGCGAGGGTGGAAGGGGCTGGCCTCTTCTTTGGTTGTAACGGCCGTACGAAGTAGTATATAGCTGATGGCCAAGTGACAATTCACTCGCGGCCAGCCTTCAGAAAAGCTTATCATTGATGCAGATTGAATGGTTTTGGGCCCCAAATTACAAGTGAGACTGTGCACAATTTTATTGACATGATCTCAATCCCGACCGATTTGTCGGTGTACCTGCCTGAGCGCATTGAGACAGACTTCAAGAATGTTGGGTGACCTTTAATACTTTCAATCCTGGTCGCCGTCTCGGTTTTTACCTACTCCAAATGTCAGCATTTCATCGACCGAATTCTTCTCAGTCACTCCAACTTGATCGTATTCGAATTGACTTGAATCATTAAGCATCGATGGTCTGGTACCTGTATTACGATGCAGGTGAGCATCGCGTCTAAGCCAGCTCGGTCGAATCACCACAGTTGGCTAATATCATTTTTACATGAAATCCAGCAACCCCTCGAATAGATCGAGTGCACAGAAGGAACTAGTTAGAATATATTGGGAAGAAACATTGGCCAATCTCAATCCCATGTCTGACCCATCAGCAAAAGAGAGAGAGGATCACACTTAGCAGTGTGCGAGATGGACGCATTACCATTGTGCCATTGACCCGAGGTAGTACGAAATCGTCTAAACATTCGCCTCACCGTTACACCTATACTAGCATTAATGCTGGAGTCTCGACCCTCAGTCCACGGGGTAAGAATCCAGATTGTATCGGCAAGATGAAGGACGAATGGCAGCTGCCTGTAATTCTTATCACGATCATCAAGTCGTGGAAGTGCGGCACAAGAATGGAATGCGGAATTTTATGCTGGACGGGCATGCATCCGAAACCGGTGCGACCCGTCCATGTCCAAAGCACGCACGTCCAACCGGATGCAGCTGAGGATTGGGTGAGCCATGATGCTCGTCCAAGGTTGACGACACATGACAGATTTGACCATGCCTGGCCAGGAATCCGAGCGGAGGAGGAAACCCTTTCCAGGCTGGCAGGAGAGCCTGCTCCGCTGTGGTGCACATCAAATATTCGTACATACCAAACCTGGCCGACGCCTCGATTTATCGTTGGAGTTAGCTCAGCATGGAAATGTACGATCGAATGCGCCAGATAGTTATTCCTGTGCATGCGCTATTCAACATTGCTGCTGGGGGCGAGAATAGATATCCCGTTGTTGCGGTGAGTCGGTTTGGTCCGCCACCGCCCGGACGCGCGGTTTGCTGCAGGTTCAGTGGGAACAGCTCAACCAAAGTTCCACGAAGTCCCTTGACCTCTTAGCCCCATCAGGAACAATCAAATGAGCGACCGACAAGCAGCAGCGAGCCTTTTAAATGAAGATACAAGACATAGAAGGGGTGGGAAGACAGCTGACGCAGAAAAAGAAAATAAGAGGGCGAGCACGCCATTCAAGGGGGTTTTTGCATCCTGTCGTATCGGGTGGTTTTTAGCGGGAGCTCGGGGATGATTTGCCCGCAGACACCATTTCGGTGGCCACTGATAGAAAAAGCCAAGAAAAGAAAAGAGCGAAGGGATAAACGCATAGCGAGGGCAGGAGGGAAAACGCGGAGCTGAAGACACCTGGCAGAAGCAGGAAGAGCGAATAACAACCCGAGGGAGAGACAGACAAAACATGATATAAGTGCCTGGGCAGGGCCACCGGATGACAACGACCTTGGGCTTGAACATTCATGTCCGTCTTGCTTGTTTGTTTCCCTTTTCCGCTGTAAGCCTGACCGACTAACTGGCCTGCTGCTCCACCGAGATTTATTGATCATCGCCTTGTTTTACCTCCTGCTTCGATGCAGCAAAGTGGCCATTTCTGAGTGGCCGCATATGCGAAGAGCTCCCTGTTTATCACCTCGCCAAGGCTCCAATCGTCCCCCGTTATGAGAGCATCACTTGACCTTCAGTGGCTGGACTATCCGGAAGGGGAAATCCAGTGACACGGGGGAAAATCGGCGACCTCGTGTGCGATAGGTAAATTCAAGTGCCAACTGACTGCAGAATCTGAACGAGATGCCTGGTGGTCTCTGCTGGCTGGGCGGCTGGATGTGCTGTACTTACAACAAACTCGTGTTCTAGGAGGGCTGCCTGAGCCTGTTCTGATAACAGATACGACCTCCGACCGAATGCCCAAAAGAGGCACGAGATAACCATATCCTTGAATTGAACGGCAGGGAATAGCACTCAGGCTTAAAAAATTTAATCCCGCAAGACTCTAGACGCTGCTTTCAAAGGGCTTCGTGGATTGGAAGAGATTCAAGGGCTGCTCCGAATAAAAATAACATATTCGCGGAGCCGGTGTCGTTTCGACGGAGGCTGTTCGTTGTTTGCCGTTCCCACCATACCGAACCCAGGACCGACTTTCAGACGCGATGGATGACCACCACTGGCAACATTCGGATTCCGATCCCGACGAAAGCTCGACCGACTCCTATAGCAATCACGATGACGACTGTCCCGGATGCCAGAGAATCCTCAAGGCGGAGGAAGAAAGATATCGTAACATGCGACTCGCAAACAGCGGGATTGGACGTCGGCCGAATCTAGAAGGTAAGCACGCGAGATCGGACTGTTGCTGCTCCGGTGGTGTTGGCTAGTCCTCTGTTTTCCCTTTTCTCTGTTTCTCGTTTCTCGTTTCCTATTTTCTGTTCTTCGTCGTTTCTTTCCAGATTTTCGGTTCATTCCGTTATACAAGTGTATCAATAATGGCTCCACTCCATGGCCAAGCTCTGGGATGTGGGAGCGTCGGGGTCCTGATGCTCTTTATATCCAACGACGACATCAATACAAATCCTTGATGCCCCCCATCTCGAAGCCGCGGAAGGTGCGTTTTCATTACAGCACCTTCCGTTGGTGGCCCCCGCGCCGGACATGACCAGCGCTGTCAAAAATTGTCAAAAAATGGTCCAACGGTGCCCTTCCTCCACCAAAACGTCCCAAAGTTCACAAGCTTCCCCTCAGTGCCCCCCACCAAACACACCAAACATCCTGATTTGGGACGTCGTGAATGGTCCGTTACCCTTTTCCAAGCTCTTGTAGCGTCAGGGTCCGCGCACTACGCCATCCTGAGCCAAATTTCGTCAGATTCCGGACCTCGACTGACCTCCGCTCGGCGTGCTGTGACCGGTGTCTTGGTGGGATCAATTAATGTGACAGCGCTGTACCACCACCAGAGGAGCAATTAGTCGGGTTCTGCTGAGTGGGTGTGGCGAACCCGACAGGGCGGCAAGCTGAATTGAACGACTTCGATTCATTGATCTTTCCTTCAAGTGGACTAAGTTGGTCCACCACCATTTTCGCCTCGCGACTAAACGCGACCACTTCTTTTTTTCGTTGCCCCTCGTCTGTTTTTGATTCTCTTCTTTTTTATTTTCCTTACTTCCCTTTCAATCTTTTCCGATTACTTTCTCGCGGCATGGTATCGGAGACTTAGCTGCTAACCTCGTCAACGCCGCAGACGAAATGACCCTTCCGACCCTCTCCTCGACCCTGGGGTTGCTCTACCCCGAGGGCGGATATCCAGAGACCCCTCCCGAGCTCGTGCACAAGCTTCATCACGATAGCTCCGTGCTGACCATCGCTGTGCGCCCCGATCTCAAGTATATTTTCGCAGGAACCGAAGGAGGAGAGATTGTCGTGTGGTCCCTCGATACGTTCAGCCAGGTCTTCAGGGTCCAAGCCCACAAGCGCGGCGTCCTGTCGCTGTCTTTGTCTCCCGATGGCTCGCTCTTGTTCTCCAGCGCGGGCGACCCGTTGGTCAACGTCTGGCGCCCCAAGACCATGGCCCGCCTTTACGAAATCTACAGCACCTACGACGTCGGTGACCTCTTCTCCATAGCCTACAGCCAACAGCACGATACTCTGTACATTGGTGCGCAAAACACCAGCATCCAATGGGTTACGCTAAACGATCCCAAAACCCGAGTCCCCCACGATTCCGCCCGCCATCCCGACCGCAGAAACCACCGCTTCTTCGACTCCAAAGCCGTCGGCGGAACAAGCACACCCCGCCGCAGCGACGAAAAGTACGCTCTGATCCCCAAGGCCGAAAACTCGCTCGAGATCGACTCTAGCGCCATCTACAACTTTGCGCATTACGGATATGTGTACTGCATGTTGATGGCGAAGGGCCCAACCGTGTTGGTGGATTCGGATGAAGATGTGTTAATATCTGGAGGCGGCGACGGTACGATCAAGCTCTGGAGATTGGGCGTCGAGGCGTCGAGCGATTCGGACAGCCATTCCTCGGACATAGAGCATGGCATCCAGGAGATAATGTGTCTCGGTGCCGATGATGCCGAGTCTGTCCTGTCCCTCGCCATTGACGGCTCGTTCCTTTACTCTGGGAAGATTGAGGGCATTATTGAGCTGTGGGACCTCGATACCAAGCAGAAGCTGAGATCCATCAAGGCGCATAGGAGCGATGTGATGTCTTTGCAGATGGGTTGGGGTAGTCTATGGAGCGGTGCTGCCACCGGCTCCGCAGCCGTGAGTCGTTGGAGCGCCCTTCCGCAGTTGCCATTATTGTTCCGCTAACATCTCACTTTTCTTTTAGAAACATAACACAGCGCATTATGGAAAGTACCAACAAACCGGAGACGTCAGCCAAAAATATCAGTGCCTCAGCCGGTGGAAGGCTCACGATGGCAAGATCCTAGCATCCGCCGTCACTGCATACAAGCATAATAATTATTTCATCACGGGAGCCAACGACGACGAAGTCTGCATCTGGAGGGCGGATAGGTCGTCCGAGAAGCATGTTTCGACGGGTACCGCCGATGACAGCGTCTTCACCGCAGCCCTTCGGGAGTTCATCTCCTACAAGACCGTGTCCTCGAGACCAGAGTTCGCCGAAGACTGCCGCAAGGGTGCGACATTCTTAGGAGGCCTGTTCAAGAGGCTGGGCGGTCATGTCGAGATGCTGAGTACGGAAAAAGCCCACAATCCCGTCGTGTTGGCGACGTTTGAGGGCAAGCGGGAACCCAAGGCGAAGCGCAAGCGTATCCTCTTTTACGGCCACTACGACGTAGTGCCTGCCGACAATAAGAAAGGGAAGTGGATGTCGGGAGACCCTTTCAAACTCGAGGGTAGGAATGGGTTCCTGTATGGACGTGGCGTTTCCGACAATAAGGGTCCCATCCTGGCGGCCTTATTCGCTGTTACCGACCTTATGCAGGCCAAAGCGCTCGAGAACGATGTCGTCTTTCTCATCGAGGGAGAGGAGGAGTTTGGTTCCAGGGGGTTCCAGGAGACGGTTAGGCGGAACAGGTCCGTGATCGGGGATGTAGACTACATCCTCCTCTCCAACAGTTATTGGCTGGATGACGAGGTGCCTTGCCTCACGTATGGCCTTCGCGGTGTTCTGCACGCGACCGTCTGCGTCGACTGCAACTTGCCCGACAGGCATTCCGGTGTTGACGGCTCATGCCTTAAGAACGAGCCGCTCTCCGACCTGACTGCCGTCCTGTCGCAACTCAAAGGGCGAGGGAACCACGTTCTCATTCCTGGGTTTTACGACAACATCCTGCCTACGACTCCCGAGGAGGAGGAACGATTCGACGAGATTGCCTCCATTCTCATGAAGAGGCAACCTGAACTTGGTCCTCTAGACAAGCAAAAGGCGTTGCTTCGAGCCCGATGGAGGGAGCCCAACCTCACCATCCACCGGTACAAAGTTTCCGGTCCCGATGGCAGCCTCGTCAGCAGCCACGCGAGCGCAAGTATCAGTTTCCGATTGGTGCCGGGTCAGGAAGTCGACGAGGTCATTAGGTCGCTTCAGGACTTCCTTCATTCTGAGTTTGCGGAGCTCGAATCCGATAATACTTTTAGTCTCAAGATCGACAACAAAGCAGAGCCGTGGCTAGGCGATCCTAAGAACTACATCTTCCGTACCCTTGAGAAGGCAGTCATGGAAGTTTGGAGTGAATCGTTCGAGTCTCCGCATGAGGTGGAACAAGAGGATGATTCCGACGAGGACGATGACGACAGCGACAGGGACAGTGTAGATGAAGTCAGCTTGTGTGAGAAACCCGCCGTCCCGCATAAGCCGAAGAAGCCCCTTTACATCCGCGAGGGAGGTTCCATCCCTGCCATCCGGTTCCTGGAGAAGGAGTTCGGGGCACCTGCTGCTCATCTTCCCTGTGGGCAGGCAAGCGACTCAGCTCATCTTGACAACGAGAGGTTGCGGATTTTGAACTTGGTGAAGAGCAGAGAGATTTTCAATCGTGTGTTCAGTGCCCTTTGAAGGGATCAAGAAGTGTGTTGGAGGGGGAGGAAAGGGGGGTCATAGAATAGGTGTGTGCATGCATATTTGATTTTGGGGCGCTCATGGAAAGACAAAACAAAAAAGAATGAACAAAAAGAACTTATGGATGTAATGAGGGATGTCTGGGTCTGTTTTGAGTTTGGAACAAATGTCTGGTATTGTATGGTATGATAGACAAAAATGCATCTTATGCTTAGATGAATAGAAGCTCAATGCATAATAACATGGGGAAGAGACTCATCGACCTGCATCAGGGTGCTTTCCACATGGTGGTCATCCGGCACTTCCCTAAGTGCTGTTTTATAAAACACCCTGGAGAATATGGGAAACTGCTTTCCAACCAAGATACCAAGCTAGCCTTCCCTGGTCAATGGATGATGCCAGGTCGGGGTGTGCCTGCCCACTCTGGCATGTATTAGACTGACCAGGTCTTCCCTCTACCGGGAGATCATAATTACTACAGCTCTATCGAGCAGTCACCACTTCCACCTAACAAAACACTTCAAAAGCCAAATCACCGAGTTCATACAATATCAAGGCGCACCCGGTTCTTGGTCTCTGCAAACGCTTTCGCTATCAATTATCTTTCCGTACGTCGAGGATAGAAATGGAGCCCGAGAATCCGCCTCCGAAAGACAAAGACGCCACCGCTCCTACCACCACCGCATGGGAGGAGCTGTGGGAATGCTCTAGGTCAATACCTCCATGTTAATACGGGAATCTCACAAGAGGGGGTTAGGCCTCCTCGACGCATCCGGGCCGATGATGATCAGTGCTGTTTGGGCCGCAAGTTACACAGTTTACGAGTGCACACGCCCGCGCCAAATCCCGGCATTCCGCTCCCCGGACTCCGGCTTTAGAGTCCCGCATGGTTAGCCTCTGGCTTTCTGTAGCCGCTATTCTAGCCCAGGTGCATTTTCTCGACGCATTGACAAAAGAAGGACAACAATGATACGAGTTCCACGGTACCCGCCGAGGGTGCCGAAAATGGACTCTTGGTCAAGTCGAGTTATTCTTGGACGTGGATGCGTTGTGGTTGGTGTTTGGCGTCAAAGGATGAGATTCTCCCCGGGCGGTTAACTCATCTCGGGAGGCGCTTGGCGTCACATCTAAGCAGGGCGGCTCCGGCTTCCGAGGCGGCATCTGGGGGCTTACTGTTAAGACGTGCTCGAAGGTCGTGTTCCCTGCAGCGCAAACACGCATCGCCATCGAAGCTTGGGATGCATCAGAACTCCCCCGGCTCGATTTTATAAGGCTTTGGGCCTCAACATGGCTCCTGCCCGCGCACCGACTCCGAGACCCGTCAGCCTCCGTCATTCCCTCCAACCCCCGACCCAAGAAGGGGTGCCAGGAGAGAAGGTGGGATGGGTTGAGGTAACCAGCAAACAGCGGGGGTTTCAGAACAGGTACAAGAGTTTACCGGGACTGGGGATTAGAAGGGCGATGCGAATGAGAGTGAGCTAAGGGTGTGGGCGGCAGAAATGAAGCAATGCCTAAGTTTTGGAACCACTAGGCTGGAGAACTCGGCAAGATCCCTGAGAACCAAAGAGCGGCGCTTTTGGGTCAACCTTCGAGGAACAGAGAATAACAACTCCGACGGCGAGGATGGAACGGCGAAGGAGGTTGACGCTGGGAAGTAAAGCGGAAATGGGCTTACACAATCACGCCTTCTCATAAGGTCACAGCGAGAAGAACACATCTCCTTCTTTCCCAGAACTGGCATTGATCAAAACGAGAGAGAAGAAAAGCGAGAATATAACGACCCTGTTGAAATAGTTGTCCACGAAGCAAAAGGAAGCGCTCCACTAAACTTAGCATTTAGTGACTTATTCTTCCAATTTGGCATCAATGACGAACGTCAACCATCGAGTGATGAGCCATATGGTGACTCTACAGGCTTTCGGCGTATTCCTGCAGCATCTTCAGGCATGACTTCATCCATTTCTCATTCACGAAGTCTTGATGCTGTGCGAAGGCTTGCATCCCCTGATAGATACTCGCCGACGTCGATCCCAGGTGGCCAGCTACTTCCTGAGTCACATCACCGCCTCGTGACTCGAAAGTGCCTAACAAGCGTTTGTATTCCTCTAGTCTGGGCGCCGTGAGCTTAACCCGTTCAATGGCGGCGGGGTGTGAGTAGGTAATGCCTGGCGGATCGACTTGAAGAAAAGAGAGCTCTGGATACTGCGCGACCACCTCGAGCGGCGCACTCATGACACCGTCAAAGTCAATGAGGCCAATGATGTCAAAGTCGTCGTTAACAAGGATGTTGTGCGCGCCGAAATAACGGTTCGTCAGCCGGAATGGACCCGTTTTTTCCTCACCGTAAAGGCGCATCAGATGGTTCAGGATTGTCGGTACCATGAATGATTGGTTTTGCTTCAGATCATCTTTCTTTATGGTCCCTTTTAATAAGTGGTTGACGAGATCGTCGTAATATTCGGTGGACGACGCCCAGGGTCCCTTCCCCGTCTGCGGTTCAGGGCCGATGTAAAAGTCATCTGTCTCTTTATTATAATAGAGACTCCCGATTTGTGGGAATTTGAACGATGCCGCTGTGGCCTGGATCTGCGCCATCTGCTCACGGAACTTGCGATCTTGTTCGGGAGTGCCGAATAACTGAGGAGCGCAGGACTTCGCCTGGCGGAGTTCCAAGGCGACGTTGCCGTGGATGTATTCCATCAAGATATACGGAGCGCCGGCATCGTTCTCCCGAGAGGTATTATAGTCGAAGACTTCTGGAACGGGGATAGAGGTTTCACGCCTAGGGATCTTATAAGATGGACATGCTCTCTTGTCGTTAAATCTAAAAAAAGAGAGACTGACCTGAAGAACTTCATACTCGCAACCTCAATCTCCATCGTCTTAGAGTCCTCCAGCTCCTCGCGCCCCGCAAACATATTCTCATTCGGAAGACGCACCCTCGCAACCCAGTTCACACCGTCTTCGAAGACAATCCGCCGGACCATGTTGAAGTGGCCCACGGAAAACTTGTCCTCGTACTGGCAAGACATGCCACCTCTATGCTTTGAGGCGATGTCGGCGAGTACATCCCATTTAGCAGTTGACAAGAAATTGGTCGCTCGAGTGTGTAAAGCGCTTCCGGACTCGTACTCGTTGGCGCCGAGCCATGTGTCGCTGCCGAGGGCAGACGTAGGTGCGGAATCGTCCGTCATTGAGTGACGTGGAATCGGCCTTCTAGATGATGAAGACGATGTGACGGAAGTGGTGGTTCGTTGGTTTTAAGTAGGGAGATGCCTGCGTATTTTGGTTCTCGGTGAGTTTCTTGCCGGAGATGCCCTGTGTAGACAGCACCGCGAAGGGGGAAAGTGGTGCATTTTATCTACTTCTTGGCAGCAGTATCAGCGGCACATGGTGTTACAGACCATGCTGGAGGTTCGCGGCTGGTCGACTAACATCCCCTTGAATGGCGCAGCGGTATTGGGTGGCTTGCAGGTGAATGGCATATTTAGGTATTGATAGTTGTACAGGCAGACCAAGGCACGCCGACTTCAAGATCCGAGTCCACGCCATTGATCCTCAGAGTCAGGAATGGGTTTCCATTCAGTTGCGCGTGAATCACAAGGGCAAGGCTGCAATGGCCGCGCCAGAACCTTCATCATTGAGCTCAACACGTCAATGCCGTCAAGTCCTCTGCCGAATGGCTATTGTTGGGCCTGTAAGGGTGGGCAACATTCGTTAGTTAATTAAGAAGCGCTTCATGTCATACCTAGTGAGCTGTGAATAGGTCGACAGCGAGCGACACAGGAATTCCAGGTATCTTCCCTGAGATAGCGTCCATGAACTATGAAACTGCCATTTCCCCCTTTATGATTCGCTATCAAAACATATACAGTTTCCATGCACAGCGCCCGGGTGGAAATAGCCAAATTCCATGTTCGCGAAGTTGTTTTTGAAAATGCCCACACCTTCCAGATAGCCGTTACAACCGAGAGTGTCATTTCTTCTACCTCCCTGCCTTTCGCCGGGAAACCTCCCCTTATTCGTCTTTTTTCCTACTCCCCATCGGAAGCCGTCTCGACTTCGGGAAGATAGAAAAGCCGTCCGTCTTCCCTCATCCGTGTCTATGATACAATGCCAACGCCAGATTCAGATAACTTTTTCCGGAATGCAAAGATGATTATGGCAATAAGAGTTCGAGCCGGGTGAATATACACGACGCCGTCCGCTCAACGACGGTGCCAAAACAAACGATAATAATAGATAAAAAAGAGAGAAAACGAGAATGATGGGGGAGTAGAGAGGTCCTTCTGTTTTCGTTGCTCTAGTGGCTCGGTATATCCCCTCGGCGGTCATGGAGAGTCGATGTAGGTGCTCGCTCGCCTAACTGTCGTCGCAGGGATATCCTCGTTTCGTGGAGAAACTGTCATCATGGCAGATTTCTAAGCCATAGCGTGCTCTGCTTGAGAGGGAGGCATGGGTGCCTACAAAGTCATAAATGTCAGCATGAAGTCAAATCTAGAGATCGAAAGGAGAGGGGTTGGTAACTCACCTCAAGCCTAGTATTACCCGCAAAGTACTTTCCAATACCAATACCAACACCCTCAATAACAGCGAGGAGCACCGCGCAACCAATGGCGCCGTTCCTCATCGCCTTGTAACCACCTCGCACGGCGAGAGCACCACCCGTGAAAAAGCCGGCAATGATGGCATTGTAAGGATCCTCCTTCTTCCTGATGCCCTTGACGGCGCAGTCGAAGGTAGAGAAGAGACCACCCCACACGCCGAAGTTACCGCCGAGGACGGGAGCACGTAGCTTGATGGCGGTGATGGCGCCCGCGCGGCGCTCGCCGTAGGGGCTGTTTCGGAAACCTTTTACGCCGTGCCAGATGGTACCACCGATGGCCTAGAAAGAAACGGAATCAAGTTAGCGTTTCTGCGAGGTTGGGAACGGCCCATGAAGAATCAATGATGAGGAGATAGGGGATAGGGTGTGGTATGCTTCCTCCCGTCGAGAGCTGATGGATTATCGGGGTAGTTTGAAAATACTCACGCCCATACAGAAAGCACCGCCAAAGTCATTAAGGATGACCCAGGGGCAGGGATCTCGCTCGTGATTCATATTGTCGGTATTAGGGCGAATATATCACCTGTGGATTATATATGTATGGGACAGTAACGAGATGGTGACGCGACAGGAACGATGGCGTCGGAATCCGTCAACTTGGTCGTCTGGGTTGTGCTGGGGGTGGTTGCGTCGAGATCGTTGATAAGGAGGGAGCTTTTTTTTTCTTGGGAAGGTTATCGAAAATTCGAGAGGAAAATTTGTCGGGTGTTCGGGAAAACTGCTCAAAGCGCGTGGCGTCACTGGTCCTTGGCAGCGCCAGGTGCGGACAAGTGAACTGTCGAGGAATGTATTACTAATTGTACATTGGTGCATTCTCGGTGAACGCCGGTGAGAACCCGAATTGGTTTGGATCATTGTTCGCCCTCGCTCTTCAGTTTTTTTTTTTTTCCTTCTTCATTGTACTGTTTTCTTTTCCTCATTGACCGAATGAAACCAAGGGAGAACGAACGAATCGTAGCGGATAGAATAAGAAGGACAAAGTAATCTTGTTACAAGATCCTCACCGTGCTCGGCTATTACGGATACTTCGTACGGGGAATAATATCTCCAGGCGAATGCGATCCCTTGTGGGTTTTAAGTCTATTGATCTATGGTTTTCATCCCTTGATGTTCAATTGGCGATTCTAGATTTACAGTTGATCAATTGATGCTCAGAGCAAAGCCATCGCACCAGCAAAACCAGCGACCAACAAACCACCAACGAGCGACGTGCCCATCACCGCAGCCCCGGAACCACCTAATTCTTGTTAGCATATCAACACAAGCGGCTTCGTCTATCCGTAGAATTAAACTCACCCTCCTTACCAGCCCCAGTAGATCCGGAGCCAGTCTCGGAAGAATTACCGTTCTTCCCGCCGGCACTGCCAGTCCCGTTCGCCGAGGGAGTAGGGACAGCGCTAGTCTGAGCATCACCAGACTCCGAGCTCTCGGCACCAGCACTAGTCTCCGCAGGCTCGGGAGCCTCGGAGGTGCTCGTAGGTAGGAACTTGGGCGAGTAAGTCTCGGTGCCCTTGTAGGCGGCACATCCGGGGACGGTGGTCTTGGGAGGAGCGCGGCCGCCACCGCAGTCGAGGAGCTCGCAGATCTCGCCCGTGTCGGGGAGGTAGTAGACGAGGGTGGTGTAAACGGAGGTTTCGCCGCCGTTGGTGGCGGTGGTGACGATGTTGGTGGTGACGCAGCCGCCAATGTCGGTCTTTGCGAGGGCGGCGGTTGCCAGGAGGCCCGAGAGGACGAATTGCTTGAAGGACATGGTGCTTTTTTGGGGGAAGTTGAAGGACGGCGTTTGATATTTTTGGTTTCTTTTCTTTTAAGCGAGTGACTGGCTGTGGAAAGGAATGGACAGCTCTTTCAAAGATCGAAGATCAGAGAGAGCCAAGGTTCTTATGGGAAGAGCGAGAACTATGAAGGGGAAGGAAAACGAAGTGGAACTGAAGGATTCATTCGATATGCTTGCTTTTATTGCTCCCTGATGTATCCACCAAGAGCGCCGAGATACCCGTTTAGTGGTAAAAGCTTCTGGTGACACAGCCCCTTTTAGACAGAGCTCCAGCGCGTCGGTTCTCGTATGACACAGGTCGATCCCCTATTCTCCAATTTTATCAGGCTCCCTTGGTTCGGTTGCGGGTCTGAATCCAATCAAATCTCACAGTTTTCTCCGTCTCATTTCGGAAAGGGAATGAGATGCCGTTTTGGTGCCACAAGGAAAAAAAAGCTTGGCCCCCTTCCAACTCCACCACTCCACAAGGGTGAAGCGTCGCACCAAACTCCAAGCGTGGTGCTAACGTCGTGTTTTGTGATCTTACATCCGATTATCCATAGCCTCGATGCTTCGTCATCATCTTCACAGTCGATTCCGGGTCTCTGAGTTCTCCATGTATTGGTTGCCGATCTATCCTCGACCTAGGCCCTACTAGTGCATGAATGACTTGGAGTCTTGGAATCAAAAACGAAGCAAAGGTACGGTCCCTGAGAATTCTCCATTACCAGAATACGCAAGACTTGTTTTATTCCCCAGCCTTCATGTCCCAATCTCCTTTGTACACATCTCGAGGCGCGGCACAATTCCTCTCCACGTACGAAGTAGGGTTCGTCAAGTTGGATGATATAGCGCTCATGTCTGCACACTCGAGTTCATGAAGACGACATGGGTGAGGGACGGATTCCAGCTGGAGAATGGGAGCCCGGATTGGGTCTAAGCTACGTTGATGATCGCCTGAATTTCGCTTGGTGCTACGGTGCTACGGTACTAATCAAGTTCAATTCTTCCGCGATATGGCTGTATTTGCCTGATCGCACAGGGATGCCTAGAGGCGGGTTCTATATGTTGAGTTCAGGTGGCAGAATATTGTTTCCGGGTCTACTTGTAGGCCGAACTTAAAGAAGCCAGGCGCTCAGCGTCCATGTAGAGAGGCACTGATGGTCTAATTCTTAGTTGTGTCGTCCACTGAGCAAGGCCGATGCCATCACGATAAAAGTGGCAACATTTTCAGAGGAGGAAAAAAAAGAAGAAAAAAAAAAGGAAAAAAAAAAAAAAAAAAAAAAAAAAAAAAACTCGAGGAAACGGGGGCCTCGGGTTTTTATATGATGACTTGACTTCTAAAATATATACAGCTTCAATAGACAGAGACATTAAGGTAATTCCCCCAAAGTCAATTAATCTTAGGCGCCCTTGATATTTCGATGTTTCTAGACTTCGTCCCCTCAACCGTAAGGCAGGCGTTGCCTCACCGAGAAGCTCGCGTCATTGGACGCCTCAATTCCTGCCAATTCCTGCCAATTCTTGGAGATGCCCAATCTCCCAACCCATTTCACCCCCGCCATCTTGTCGCACTCTTGTCGCAGTCGTCAACATGGACAAGGCAGAAGAAGCAAGCAGCTTCATAACCCCATGATGATATATTGGAGAGAAGACGGAAGGTGCTGCCGGAGTCCAGGAAAATTCAAAGGGAGGCGCGTCATGACAATTTGATGATGAGGCGATTGCTCTTGGTTACGCCTTCCTGCTTCTTACTGCTTCTTCCTCAGGTCAACATCGCAATGATAATTCCCAAACACCGTTGCAGTCCAGTCTCTCGCCCTCTCTCGCCCACTTGCCCTCTCAAGGCCTGCCCTTCTCTTCAACCTCACCCGTCCCCCATCTCACCTTACATCTCACATTACATCGCGCATCACGCCACACATCAATAATTTCCTTTCGCCTCCGAGTCCTCCCTCTGCTTCTGCAGCTGTTAAGCATGTGCTGGGCAAGATGGACAGGAACTCCTCTTTTAAGCCTCCCTGGAGATCGAGGGCCATCCCCATTATCGATCCCGAATCCAGACAGGAGAAATCGGCCTCAAATCCACGAAAACCTAACTTGATTCTCGGCCGTCCACCCATATCGGCTGGCGAACAAGTACAAAAGCCGCCAATTCCCGATGGTCAAGTTCTTTTCAATATGAAATGTCTTACTCCCGTTTCCAACACTCCTGTTTCCAGCAGCGGTGACACTTCCATCGGAGATGAAGACATGAGAAAAGCTTTCGATGTCTATGCGACGCCGTTTGTTCCCGAGGCTCTCAAGTTAATCAATCGCCTCCCAGGTGTCGAGGTTAATACTCCCCCTACGAGACAGATTGCCTGGGCAAGGCATTCTTCAATAATGTTCGAGTCTGGCCTCCAGATAACTCTCGCCCATCCGCCTTTACCTATACCCGTCGGTACTCCCTATCCCTCCGTCGGGTTACTTGACACCGCGTCGTACGAGTCGCACTTTTTTCTTCACTTAAACCAAGAACTCGAATCCCAGAGAAAATTGAACGCGGTATATTCCGTGTATAACCAGAAGATCACGGTGCGGCCGAATGGCGAACACGCCTCGGCCAACTGTGTCTTGAGCGTACCCGGGCTGAAAGAGAATGCGCCTTTCCTCGAAGAAGACGATGTCGTTGAGCTTCGCCAGCTAGTTTATGATGCAGATGGGAAGCTCTGTAGTACAGACAAGTACATCGCCGAGTCCAGGCCCCGGTCGGACATGTACCCCAGCTTGCGCAACGTGCCGGGATGGACAGGCGTGATCTACCGCGCTAGGGTAATTGCAGTGAGAAGAGTTGAGGAGAAGGTGACACTCAAGGTCGCGGAGCTCGCAAAGAACTACGGTGGTGGCGGTTCCTGGCACTTGCCGAATGCCGCGAAGGAGATCCATGTCAATGTGCAGTTTCCTGCGTCTACACGAAGGCATGAAGATATGATGCTTGCTCTACGCCTCGTCCAACTTGCTCTGACTCTAGGAGAAACTATCCAAGAGAGACCGCGCGAGGCGCAACTGAGACCTGTCCATGACCCCGCATGGCTTCAAGCAATGCTGTTTCCGACGGAAAGATATGGGAGCCTTCAGACCCGGCTTCACAGAGGCAAGTTTCGACAACAGTTCTTCGATGAAGAGCTCAACTGGGAACAAAAGAAAGCTGTACAGGCTATTTGCGAGCGGAACTATGGCTCCATGCCCTACCTTGTTTCGGGACCACCCGGAACCGGGAAGACAAAAACTATCATCGAGATAGCCCTGCAGCTACTGAAGCGGACCGAGGGAGGGGAGGTGCAGCCGCACATATTACTCTGTGCCCCGTCGGAGAATGCTACTGATACCCTGGCTATCAGGCTACGAGACCATTTCAGACCCGGAGAACTTTTACGGTTGAATCGGCCAACCCGCACATTCGCCGAAGTGCCCGGGAGCATCCTCCATTTCTGCTACACAAGAAAAGACGCATTTGATCTACCGCCACTCGGCAACTTGTTAAAGTACAAGGTGGTGGTCACTAGCTGTCAAGACGCTGCCCTTTTGGTCCGAACGAGAGCGACGAATGTAGATATTTCTAGACTGAGAAAGGACATGGGTGATCTGCTTGGCATTGGGATCCACGAAGCTCAGAAACCGCACTGGACAGCTCTGCTCGTGGATGAAGCGGCCCAAGCAATGGAACCCGAGGCGCTGATCCCATTAATGGTTGTTGCGCCTCCGCCAAATGTCAATTCTCCGCCCCCCGTCTTTGTCTTGGTTGGTGACCAATACCAACTAAGCCCACGTACCTCCCTGCCATTCTCCCCCCTCAAGGAGTCCCTCTTTTCTCGCCTTTTTAATAGACCAGTATACAAAAACCACCCGCTTGCGCGAGGGAACAATGGAGAAGACCCTCCAGTTCTGAAGCCTTCGATGCTCCCCATCGCAGCGCCTCCGTTTACAAATCTTTTCCGGAATTACAGATCGCATTCGGCTATTCTGGCAGTACCGTCGTCTCTGTTCTACTACGATACCCTGGAGCCGGAGGCTGTTGGCACGGATAGGCTTGGGAGCTGGCAGGAGTGGAAGGGCCGACGATGGCCCGTACTGTTCCATCACAACGAGGCAAATGACGAGCTTGAAGGGGATGGCGGTGGATGGTACAACATGGAGGAGATTCGGATTGCCATGCACTATGCTGCATCTCTCCATGTATCCGGCCTCGTGGCTAAGAAGGACATTTGCATCATGAGCCCGTTCAAGGCGCAAGTAATGCGACTACGAAAGGATCTTAAACGTCAGGCGGCCGGCAGCTTACACGGAGTCAACGTAGGTCCAACAGAGGCGTTTCAAGGCCTAGAGTACGACGTGGTCATTCTATGCACAACGCGGGCCAGGGAGAGGTTCCTAAGGAAGGACCAAGAAGTCGGATGGGGCATCGTTGGAAATGCCAACGCCATGAATGTAGCGCTTACGAGGGCCAAATACGGTCTTATCGTGATTGGAAGGCGGGAGATACTTGCGACGGATCCCAACTGGACGGGATTTCTCGAGTTTTGCGACCGCAACGGGCTCGTGTCGTCCTCGATTTCCGGTGGAGGCTCCGAAGAGAGGAGTCCCGTCGTCACAGAGCTCAAGGCCCCACAACAAAGGCGAGAAAATGATGCTAATGGTCGGAGACAGGCCGATGGTCCAAAGGTCAAGGTGACGCGCAAGTTTACCAGGTTGGAAAAGGTTCTGCTCGCGCAGGAGACAGAGTTGGAAAGACCAATTGGATCGAGGGCTCTTGGTGGTGTGAAGGTGGAGGACGACGAGATGTGGGCGAATGAGAGGCCCGGTTTGACGGAGGATGGCGATTTCGACGACGGTGAGGACGGCAACTAGGGGAGCCGGCCAACCATTGATTGCATTCTTCCAGCCTCGGTAAATTAGGTATTTGTTGTTGTTGGGTTAACTGGTTTTGGGCATGTCGTTGAGATGATCGATTGAGCACTTTGAGGATTAAATCGTAGGAACTGATTGTATAAACGATAAAACGTCTCGAGTTTGTGTGTGCATGTGCATGTCGCCGAATCTGGAAATCTGGACAATTAAGGTCGGAAGCGGAGTGTCACTTCGTCCGTGTCCGTAATCCGTGTCCGTGCCTGTGTCCGGTGAAACTTGAAGCTCAGGACTTTGGCTTTGGGATGTCCCACCATCAATCGAGTGTGAAGGGTGAATGCGAAGCTTGTACGAAGTATTAGTGAATTCGCGTCGAGCCTAAACCTCGGCATCTCACAATTTATTCCACGCCAACACGCTCGTGTCTCAAAAAGCAAACCCAAGCCTCAAGCCTCTTTTCTCGTTCAGGCCCATCTCATTGATCAATCTTTATCAAAGTCTAAACCCCTGAGAAATCCTCTCATATCGGGGAAAAAAAAAAAAAAATAGGATCCATTAAAAAAGATGCCTCCTCAACCTGGGCAGAAGACGGCGCTCATCACCGGGTGAGATTTTTCAACCCCTGTTATGCTCCTTATCGCAGAAGGGGAATGAATTAAAACAGTTGGCTAACTCTGGGGCAAAATAGGTGCACGCCCGGTGGAATCGGCCATGCCATTGCTCTCAAGTTTCACGAGAAGGGTAAGGGGGATTGGACATTCTTCCTCTCATCGACCTGCCGTAATTAATGCAAATTGTTGTTCAGGCGTTCATGTCATCGTGACTGCGCGCAGGCCCGAGGTTCTCACCGAGATGGCCGCCATGGGCATGGATGCCATCAAGCTCGACGTCACCAGCGCCGAGAGCATCGCCGCGGCAAAGATTGAAGTGGACAAGCTCACGGGCGGGAAGCTTGATTTCCTCGTCAACAACGCGTAGGATCCTTCCCCTCCTGTTCCCTCCCTCCCTCTTTATCGTCCCCCATACTCCCGAAAAAAGATATTGAGAAAAACAAAAAAAAACGAGAGCCCTACTGACCCCCAAAGCAGCGGCTTAACTCACACCGTCCCCGCCACGGACATCGTCATGGACGACGTCCGCAACACCTTCGAAACCAACGTCTTCGCCGTAATGGCCATGGTCCAAGCCTTCATCCGGCCCCTCATAGCAACCAAGGGCCTCATCATCAACATCTCCTCCCTCTCCGCCCGAACCCCCTACTGCTTCGGCTCCGTCTACTGCGCCACCAAGGGCGCCATAGACGCCTACTCCCGCACCCTCCGCATCGAACTGAAGCCCTTCGGCGTGCGCGTCATGGTCGCCGTCACGGGCACCGTGCGGAGCAACATCGCCAGCAAGACGCACCGCACCCTCCTGCCTAACTCGCTCTACGAGCCCGTGCGGGACATCTTCGAGTGGCGGCTCGTGTTCTCGCAGAATAACGGCACCGTTTCGACGGACAAGTACGCCGAGAAGCTCGTGAGCGCCGCGTTGAGGAGGCCCGGGTTTTTGGCGTGGTTGTTTGGTTGGGGCGGCGGCCCGCCGAAGTGGTTCTGGGCTGGGGGATTTTCGACGCTGGCGTGGATCGGGTCGTTTTTTGGCGAGTGGTTGATGGATTTGTTTTGTGAATATCGGTTTAAGATTCCGACTATGACGAGGAGGATTGAGGCTGCTAAGAAGACGAACTGAGGGAAATGGGAAAGGGGGCTTTGTGGGGGTTGGAAGGCTTTGTGTTGTAGCAGTATTTATATCTGTATGTTTTATGTGATTTTTACAAGTTCTGTGCGCAAAGCTCCGGATCCCTTTTTAACAAGAATTATTTATATTTCGTCTATTTTCGACGCTGCTTCGCTCTGCTCTCCCAAAACATGAATCCGCAACGCCGCCCATGCATGTACGTACATATGTACTTATGGTATAACCCAAAAAGAAGGATAACGCCAAAGAAAACCCAGCGAGTCCATATGTGCGTCCCAAAAGAAGAAAAAAAAAAGATCATAAATCAATCCATATCAAATACCACACCACAGCCTCAATCTCTATAGATTCGATCCCGGCATCTCAGCAGGTCTCGGTAACGCGTTCCTCGGCCTATACTCCGCCGGCGTACTCGCAAGCTCATACACCCCATTCTGCGGATCATCGCGTCCAGCAACAGCCCCATCCTGGCTCGCCACGGCATGATATCCCGCCGGCGCCATCCAGGACTGCGCTGCGGCCTGCGGCTGTTGCGGAGGCGCAGGCATATTCGGCTGCGGGCCCCATCCGGTCTGGGGATTCCACGCGGGGGCGGGAGACTCGTTCCACTGCTGCTGAGGCGGAGACATGCCCGTGGGGTTGCCGCCGCCGCCGCCCGTGGTGAAGGAATCGGGGCCCCATGCGCCGGCGGAGTAGTTGTTCTGCGGGGACATGTCCTGCTTCCACTCGTTGTATCCGGGGGGGAACATGCTCGTCGCGGCGACGGAGTTGGCGCCTGAGTTTCGGCCCGAGAAGGTGGAGGGCTGCAAGCTGTGGCGGCCGAGCATGGGGTTCGCTTCCTCCTTGAATTCGTTGGCGGCGCGGCGGCGGCGATAGAGGAAAAAGGCGACCCCAGCGATGAGAGCGACGCCCGCTACCGTGGCGCCCACAGCAATACCGATCTTCGCCGTCGTGGAAAGACCGCCATTGTTGTCGTCGCCCTTACCAGGGTCAGTGGTACTCGTCGGTTGGCCCGTCTCAGTAGCCGTAGGCGTCTGAGACGTCGTCGTCGTCGACTTTGCGTCCTCGGCAGCCTTTTTCGCAATCTCATTGAACTCGTCCTCGCTGATATCCATGGGCGTCTTGGAGCCGTTACAGTTGATGGCGAGCATCGTATAGGTCTCCTGGAGGTCGTCGGGGGAGCTCCGGCCGACGCAGCGGGCGGTGGAGGTGACGAAGCTGCCACCGTCGGCGCAGAGGCAGGCGTTCATCTTGGGCACGGTCTCGCCGTTGCAGCCGGAGTTGCGGTCGGCTGTGTAGAGGCAGGCTTGGGCGCCTTTGGGGTAGGTGGTGAAGTCATTGGGGAAGCGGTCGGCGAGGGTGGTGGTTAGGAAGGTTGTGAGGGCGAGGAGCGCAGGGAGGGAGAGGGGAAGCCGTATTAACATGGTGATTGAGGGATCTCCGAATCTACGTTTAAAATAGTATTCTGTTTCTGCTTCCTCTTCTTTCTCGCCGACTCTCAGGTTTTCGGCTGCCACAAGAAGGCCCTGTAAACGAGGGGTTGGGGATATTCCCGTTGGTTTTGGGCGTCGGTCAAATAAGGGGCGGGCTGTATTAAGTCCGACGTAGGGAGGGCAGACGCGACGGCAATTATTTGCAAAACAAGTAATTGGGACGAAATGAGAGAGACGCTGGAGAGATTCGCAGATGGATTCGTAAATCGTATGTTCGTCGAAAACTGGGCGGAATTCGTCTGCGGAAAAGACTCGTCGACACGACCGAGCTGAGACAGCTTTGAATCAATGAATTAGGCCCGTCCTAATGTCGCAATTCAACGGGACAGTTCCGCTAGAAATTTAAGCTTAGATGGCGAGAAAACGAGTGTCGCAGATTAATAGAGAGATAAAGAGAGCAAACGACCGGATTTGGCTCTATTACAGCAACAAATAGCGAGGGAGGAGGCCACGATGTGATCTTGAGGACAGTTGGAATGGAGGAAAATGAAAACTGAGCATGGCAAAAACGACAAACAACAAAATCCGGCGATAAAAAAGAAAAAAACTGGCGTCAGGCTAGTTTTGATCCATCGAAGCGAGGGAAATTGCGGCTGGCATTATGGGGTAAGGCGAGCCAGCATTGACAACAGGAATCGTGGTCAAAGAGGCAGAGCAGAGCAAGGAGGGGCGGATTCTCGGCACCGGATTGAGCTTGCTGGTTGTGGCGGTGCTGAGCGGAGGAGTGAGAAGGGGGGGCAGGGACGCAGCAACAACATGCCAACTTGCCAACTGGTAAGGATCAGGAAGGGAATGGAGTACCAAGTACGTGAGCCAAGCCTGCACCTGGACGATCAAATCAGTCTGGCAAGTTGATGGAATGGAACATTGAATGTCGCATCGATGGTGATAGTGATGGCTTAGTGCTCAAGTCCATCGTTCCTGCCCCAATATTCTCACAGCGTAGGCCCATGTCTGTCTCTTACGCGAGTACTCTGTACTCTGTACTCTGTACTCTGTACACTGCTTGGAGACAGCATCTTGAACAGGTTTTGTACAAGACAAGGCGTCGAGTCCGACAACCCCGACTTGGAATGTTGAAGGAAGCCATTTGGATGTGCTGAGCCAGGCTTGCGGGGGCTGGTGGCTCTGGTCTGGTCGGATGCAGCAATAGTGCGAGCCTGGTACTTGTAATACTTCGTGTCTTACTACAAAAGCTGGCAGCGGTCGTGTACTTCCGTCGCGCAGTCGGTACATTGCATGTAATCATCGACTGAATTGATCCGATCAATATTATTGGGAATGTCGCGAAAAGCCATTGGCTTGAAGACGAGAACTGGTCCGCAATGGGAAGCATTATTCATTAGTGTCGATTTTATGCACTTGGTTCCTTGCACAGTGTACGGGAGCACAAGAGCTGGTGCAGTGTTCTGTCCCAGGGCTATTCTTAGAAATCCTGGCAGACCCAAAGTGCTGGGATGCCCGCTTATGTTCTTGGTTGTCTGAGGCGAAGAATCGTACGCTAACTTGCAGCTGTCTGGGCTGGATTCTGTCTGAGGTTGCTTCCGGTGGTGGCGGTGGTCAGTGGCGGTGAGGAGATCCTCATCCAGCCCAACACATCACCAACAGCACTCATTCGTGAGGAGCATCAAGAGTCGAGAAGAACATCAAATGGCATCCAGAGATGATGGAGAAAACTGCAAATTGGGGTGAGCGAAAAAGCCTACCATCTACACGTTTATCTAGTTTCACAAAAATAAGTGACATTTGATGACAGGGAGAATAATCGAATAATTGAATGGGAGAGTCCAAATCTCTCTTCATATTAATTATTAATCGAGAAGATCACGATCTTATGTAATACTTCGTAGTCTCCCATTTCTCAACGCCCAATTCACACGTCCCAGCATTACTCGGCTTCCCCCGACTCGGACCCATCACCCTCGAATTCACCTTACTCGGCGCCATCTCACGCTCCTGCTTTTCATGCCGAGTATTGTCCGGCTTCTTGGAATATTCCGGCGGCGGTGATGGTGATGAGTCCACCGCAGCGGCACGCTCTCTCCGTCTCCGTCGCTTCCAGTGACGCAAGAGACAAAAGAGGGCGGCTCCCACGCCAGCCAGGAATACGAAACCGCTGACGGCAATGCCCGCTATAATTACTGGCGTCATAGACTTACTCCCGTCCTTCTGCTCGACACTCCCTTCGCTAGAAGCAGAGTCGGGACTAGTTTCGCCAGAAGCAGGGTCTGGCGTTGTCGCGGCGCAAAAGTCCGAGACCTCAGTGCCGTTGGTATCTATGGCCACGAGGTCCTCGTTGGAAGTTGGATTCGATTCCCAAATCGTGAATTCTCCCGCGTCGAGGTTGGCCATGACGTAGGCCGAAGAGAGGAACTGCCTCCCAAGCTGGCTGATGTCGTTTTCGTTGTCGTCCTGCGGAGGTAGTATGACGAGGTTCTGTGCCGAGCTATTCCGGTGCAGCGCGCCCGTATCGCAGTCAATGGTGAGTTCCGGGACGACAAGCTGGTCATTCGGAATACGGATCGAGAGACCTGACTGTAGCGTAAAAGTCAAGTCCCCCCTATACGGCTCGTCACCCTTGCAGTACAACATGCTAGAGTAGGCCACACCCCAACTTCTCTTCGACAGCGTGACATTGGTGAGCCGCTCAAAGTTGTCGAAACACGGCTTGCGCGGCATCTTCATGAGAGCAGGGTAATCGGGCACCAAGCAAGCGGGGATGGAGCTGGAGAGCCCCTTCGGGAACAGGCTAGCGTCCGTACCGTTGGGGAAGTTGAGTGAGATATCCGTGATTGTGACGAGGATCTGCGACCGGCAATTGGGGTTCGTGGAGAGTCGCTCAGTATAGCCCCCACCTTTAACTTTGGCCCGATCGTAGCCCCCGAGGATGAAGCTCCCGTCCAACTGCGCGTTGGCATCGGCTCCTGTTAGGCCGTAGAACATGCTCCACGAACGCGAGGCGATCTTGCCCGCGGCCTTGAGGGTGTTAAGTAAGGTGGAGTTCGACCCCAGCCCGACGGCCATCATGGGGTGGTAGCCCTCCTGGCCCCAGTCACTTCGGGCGATGCCCATGGGAAAGTCGTCGAGACTAACGTTGGTGGTGAGCTTCAGCGTGTCGGAGATGAAGTTCATGCTTGGATACGGCGCGTTGTCGTCGGGGTAGGCGCCGATGGTTGGGCGCTTGCGGGTGTCCGAAGCGAGTTGGTCGTATTGGCCTCCGCGCCAGACGGTGCAGCCATTTTGCGTATTCGGCGCCGGTGGCATGCAGAATCCATTCGTGCCGTATATCAAAGTGTTATTGAGAGGCCTATGAGGTGGAACAGAGAAAAATAAGGTTAGTCTTGCCAGTGCCGAAAAGCTCAGGTGCGTGTTGTGCGTTGGGGGGCTTGAAGGACCAAGCAGAGTGGAACAGGGAAATGGTTAAGGGAGGATGGACTAATACAAAACACGTACCATTGAGGGAGGAAGGCAAACTCCTGCTCGGGAGTTCCAACCGCCAAGGCGATGCCACGAGACTGTAGGCGATTTGAAAGTGTTACGTTTCGTATCTTGGTTGAGAGAGGCTTCGGGGCACAGGCGGCAGATGCGACGGTCCATGTCTGACAGGCCAGGAGCAGAACGATAGCCCGAACACGACATAGGATCCGGCTTTGCGGATTTGAGAGCCACATGAGTGTTTCTAAGGTAAGGCGTAGAACGTGGAACAAAAACTGAAGGCGACGGTGGGATTTTAAACCCAGGACTCGGGGAAAAGAATGTGATAACGTCGCCCTGGTGGTAGCGTGGGTTTCCTTCCTGATTTATATCTCTTTGCTCTTCGGAGCCCTAGGTGGGATGAGGACAACGGAGGCATCGGATGGCTCAGATATCAGACTCGATTTGGACAAGGAAAGGAAAACTAGTAAGATATTATCCGCAGCTAGGGCAGATAGGGCTGTATTCAAGTCCACTTATACCTCTCGTGGATCAATTGATGCCTAAGCCTGTTCTCTCAAACAAGAGTCTATCGCCGAGCTCCATTGTGATTGTGATCAACAGAGTATTCAACATAGGTGAATAGCGACTTGGAACCAATCAAGCCGCACCGAGGGACAGCTTGTAAGTGATAGATATCCAGCTATTCGGGTAGGCACCCACAAATTGTGGGTATTCACGGGTATTCCAAGGCTCGGTTGAAAAACTCTGTGTCACGAAACGGAACTGTGAGCAGTGGGCTGGCCGTATATCGAAGAAGACAATAGACTTCATGGGGCCACGGCGGCTACTTCAATGCTACTCTGACCATTGATAGGCAGGATTTGGTACTTACCATTCTATCGATCATTGATCGGCTATTGATCCAGACCTCTCTGTTGATGAATCAGTCCATGTTTCTCTTTGACTCGATTCACGCTTTTACTTCTCATCGACCCTATTCAGCACACCTTTTGATATCGAATGCTGTTGCCCTGTCTTAACCACTCTTTCGTATCGACTCTTCATTTCCAAATACCTCAACGCCTCCTCATTCTCACAATACGATCAAGTTTTTGATTCCTCTGCGGGAAACAGGTTATTTAAGTGTATTTCCAGTCAGTTCTCGTTGAACTCATTCGCCTCTGAGTTCTGTAGCTTAAACTCCTGCCTATAAAGTTGATCTTGGGATATGGCAAATGGAAATGAGCAAAAACAGCGCGGTATTTCGATTATTAAATAAGTCGGGGATTTCGACTGATTGATCAACTATGGCTGGCCATGGGATATGCTCTGCCAAGGTGGCTGTCAATACTGTATCCATATCGCTGGTCTGCTTGACGGGTTCAGAGTTAGAATTACTATAGTTAATCAATATCAATGGATTCTTGATACATCTGAACGTGGAGATAGTAGAAGTGTTGTACCGGCACAGGCATTCGTGGACCTACTTGCAGTGTAGTACTGCACAACTCACCCAAGATGGATGCCCTCACAGTCCTTCCTGGCCACTCTACACGACGCTCGGTTGATACGAGATCCCGCGATTCGATATTAACTATTCCGCTTGAAGACTGTTGTCGATTGTTCGATCAAGATTCCCCCCCCCCCCCAAAAACCAAAAAAAAAAAAAAATAAAAAAAAAAAAATAAAATAAAATTTAAATAAATTAAAAAAAGGTTCCCACGTTCACCCCGTCGGGATTCCCTTGTCGTTCGATTATCTCTCAGGCCCTGAGGATGTTAGATTCGGTAGGCAAGCCCAGCATTGTCTAGATTCGCAACACATTTGATACTTGCTAGAAGAGATGGTTCAACTCAGTGATGAGCTTAGAACCTCCTTGAAGACTATATCAGTCCACGCTCTTCACCTCCCCCTCCTTCCCCCCAATTCCCCCCTTCACACACATCTCACACCCACACCGTTGGCACCTTCACGCTCCTGGTGTAGCATTGCATTGCATATCGAAATATATAGAGAGGTTTTGGTTGGTGCATTGCACCTAGTTATCGTAACCTTATATGCAGTCCATCGCACGCCTGCACACCTCCTTACGTCCTTGGAGATTACACTTGGATGTCGGAATGCAACCATCCACGTCGTCATTACTCTACCGGCCTCGTACCTGCAGACATCCAGGTAGCCACCACGATCCGTGATCGCCACCATTAATACTCGCTGCAACCGGTTTGTAGAAAAGGCAGGATCCCCGCGCCTCCTCCCACCCCACAGTGTTCGACCAGAACGGGTTCGGGTTCGACGCCGCCCCCTCGCGTCCAGTCGTTATATTCATTATGGAGAGCACCCGCTAAGCTGCTCGAGCTTCCGTGCCGTGTTGCGAAGTACCTACTTCTCCTATAATTTCGGCTATGAGGCCATCACCGCCCCGACAATGGAATTTCTCGCCGTGATCATTAATCCATCGCGCCGTGGTTTCTCTTTCTCACCAATTGTCATTTTATCCCTCTGCTGCTCCTTTTCCCTGTTCCATTTTCTCGAACTTGAACTTCGTGCTTCTGTTTTCCTTCGACCACTGACTTCCCACCCTGTCCCTTCTCCCAGCTGGTGATCTCAGTTATGGATATAGCTGTGCCAAGAGCGGGGGAAATAATAATCAGTTTAAGCCCGTTCCATCGTTCCATAGTGGTGGGAGCATTTGATCCGCTCCGGAATACCACGAACGAGTACTCTAGATGATATAATTCCTGGCCGCAGCTAATAGCTCAACATCGAGAGATATATTACACCAATGGCCACCTCGGCCTTACTTTAATAATAATCATCGATACCCATTGCCCATTTCTCCATCATGTCTTGGTCCAATTTCCTCTCCGCATTTTCATCAAATCCTCAACTCCCCCCCTTCACGAGCCATTGAAACCGTGAACCCCACAACGCGGCGGCACCAGGTCCGCCCAACCGCAAACCCACCGGGGTAAAGAAGAGAAAAGGGAATAGCTGCCCCCCGGCCTCTCCACGTTTCCAGGAACGCCAAGCTTTCCTCTTCTTAGTCGCTTTGCGGACCCAAATTTCCCCTCAATCACGGGCCTTGCTTTCTTCCGTCTACTTTCCCATTTCGTACTTGCAATATTTCCACTTACACTGGAATCCGGTCCGCGGCAGAAGAAAAGGCACGGTAGTAAATTACACGCACCGAGTCTGGTCTCATTCGACCCTTACAAGAGCGAATGGGGTGAATTCAGCGCGTTTTTTTTTTTTTTTTTGTTGTTTCTTCCCCTCACTACTTCGTAGTATTCTCTTCCCGGAGGGTAGATCCTACGGGACCTGGTCCGAAGAGCTTGATCCATGGGGGCAAAGTGCGTAGAGTGCGACTCTGGCCCTTCTCTTTCCCTCAAATCATGGCGGTTCTTGGCTCTCTTTAACGACTCTTGAGACTCCGTATATAAGTAAAATGTAAGAAATATAACTCGGCCCGCCCTTGTGTTCTTCTCCGCTCCTCGCCTTCCCCCTTCTTCTCCCTCCCTTCTACCCCAGGTCCCCTCGTTTTGCCCGACCGTCCACTCATTCACAACGAACAATCCCTCCTGCCCCCGGTTAAACCATGGCCCTCCTCCTCACCTCCACCCTCCTCGCCAGCCTCGCCGCCACCCAATCCGTCGGCGAGGCCCCCGAGGTCCACCCCAAGCTCACAACCTGGAAGTGTACCGTCGCCGACGGCTGCGTGTCCCAAGAGACCGCCCTCGTCATCGACTCCCTCTCCCACTGGGTCCACCAAAAGGACAACCCTTCCCTCGGCTGCGGCAACTGGGGCAGCGGGCCTAACGCTACCGTGTGTCCCGATGTCGAGACTTGCCAGGAGAACTGCGTCATGGAGGGCGTCTCCGATTACGAGGGTTACGGTATCTTCACTGATGGTGGGGCCTTGACGCTGAAGCATCTTCGTGAGGATGGGAGCGTTTCGAGCCCTAGGGTGTATTTGCTTAATGAGGATGAGGATAAGTACGAGATGATTAAGCTCACGGGGAATGAGTTTACTTTCGATGTCGATGTGTCGAAGTTGCCTTGTGGTATGAACGGCGCGCTGTATTTGTCGGAGATGGAGGAGACGGGTGCCAGGAGCGAGTTGAATACCGGCGGTGCCTCGTATGGTACTGGCTACTGTGATGCTCAGTGCTTCACGACGCCTTTCATCAACGGTGTTGTAAGTTGAAAAAATCCAGCCTTTTTCCCCCCCAAAAAAAGAAGCAAATGGGAGGAGATGAAAACACTAACGCCCAAAATCACAGGGCAACATCGACGCCAAGGGCGCTTGCTGCAACGAACTCGACATCTGGGAAGCCAACTCCCGCTCCACCCACCTCGCCCCGCACCCCTGTAACATAACGGGCCTCTACGAGTGCACGGGCGACGAATGCGCCTTCGACGGCGTCTGCGACAAGAACGGCTGCGCCTACAACCCCTACCGCGTCGACCAGTTCGAGTACTACGGCCCAAATCTGACTGTCGACACCTCCCGCCCCTTCACCGTCGTGACGCAGTTCCCCGCCGACGAAGAGGGCAAGCTCAAGGAGATCCGCCGCTTGTATGTCCAGGATGGGAAAGTTATTCGCAATGCCCAGATTAATGTTGAGGGGCTCCCGAAGAATAATTTCATGACGGATGAGCTTTGCGAGAAGACCAATTCGGAGAGGTTTATGGATCTCGGTGCGTTGGCGGGCATGGGTGAGGCTATGAGTCGGGGTATGGTTCTTTGCATGTCGATTTGGTGGGATGAGGGTGGTTTCATGTCTTGGTTGGATTCCGAGGAGGCTGGGCCTTGCAAGGAGGGCGAGGGTGATCCCAAGAATGTTCTCAAGGTTGAGCCCGATCCGACTGTTATCTTCTCCAACATTAAGTGGGGTGAGGTTGGCTCGACTTATAAGGGCGCCGAGTGCAAGAAGAAGCGAAAGCTCTAAGTTGGAGAGGTGCATTCGAATGAGGGGGCCTTGCGTGGAGGAGAGAACAAGGCGGAACTCTACTGGTGTATATACGGAGCAACGCAAAACGGAGGCATCGGATGTTGTGATTCCAGGCTTATAATCTTCCATGTACATCCTTGAAATTTAAGAGTTTTGCAATTCCTCACACAATTCTTGCTGGTCTCTCTGACTCGTGATGACTGGCGAAGTCCCAAGTATATATCTTAAGACGGTCAACTACACCCAAGGATCTAAAAGTAAATCATAGATAAAACCGAAACCCAGAGTTCTCTTGATATAGTACACCAAGTCACTCCATCCGTCCATCCCACGCCATATTCACCGTCAACCGAAGGAAAAGGAAAATAAAGAGGGAAAAAAATAGGAAAAGAAACAAGAGCCCAGTGGCCTCAATATCCCGACGCCATCCATATTACCCGGATCCGACGCTGTAGACCGTATTTCATATATCCTTCCCACCAAGAGCACCTAAAACTCCACACAAGTCCCTAAAGAAATGAGAAGACTAGAGAAGGAAAAAAAAAGGAAAAAAAAAAAAAGAACAGAAAATAGGTTTCACTCAAGCAGCGTAGCAGCTTTCCAAAACGCCTTAACCACATCCTTTGGCCGAACACCCGGGCTACGCCCGAGGCACACCGAGCGGAAGACAAGTTCTAAAGTTCATCAGTGTTAATTTAGTGGAGAATGGTCAGTGTCAGATAACGAGAAAAGCAAAACTAACCAGTAACAAGCTTGTCGATGTTGAGCGACAGCTTTTGCTTTGTCGCCTGCCCGGTCCCACTCGCAACGAACGGATCAGTGAGCGGGATATCGCCAAAATTGATATCCCCAAAGGTTGGCCGGGGCACCTCGGGTGAGTTGTTCGCAGGTTCGGAAAATTGGTTCGTAAGTAGAGGATCGATCAGGTGCGACAGAGAAACGCTACTAGCGGCTGTGGTCGTTGTCGGGTTGGGGGAAGAGTCAAACATCGACGTAGTGGGAGGGGCTCGGGTGTTGGTGTTTGCGCCGAGGTCGACATCCGGAAAGGTCATATCGCCGTAGATCGGGTCCATGATCATCTCCGTTGCCGCCGCCAGGACAGATTCGAGTGTGAAATCGTTCGGATCGATTTCGACGGTAACAAAATCGGAAGCTGGGGGAATATAAACGCCTTTCTGCCGCAAAAAATACTCGATTTCGTCGGGGTCGAAAAAGTCTCCTTGAAAACCGGGAAACTTCATGCGCAGCCTATCGTCCATTCGCATCTCCCGCGCATCCTCAACCGGCTGCTCAAAGGGACCCATGGAAAAGTTGACGCCGCGGGAAGGTTTGTGAGGTCCTTGCGTACCCTGATTCCCAACCGGTATTTGTCTAGAGGAAGAGGATGAAGAAGAAGAAGGATTGGAGGCGCCGTCGCCGCTGCTCGAGGTAATGTCGGGGGTCGGAATATCACTATAGTCAGTAGCATGGTTCATGAGGTTGAAGAACGACCCGGCGCCACCAAGATGGAAGAATGGAAACTTCCAGTTGTGGAGGGTTTGTCCGTTGTTCCGACTGAGACAGTCAGTTACTCTCTTCACAATCTTATCACGGGGTTCAAACAAAAGGCAAAAGCCGAACACGGCTCCGAATACATGGGGAGGGGGGTTAGGCATATTCAACAACACTAGGGCTTGCTCGAGAGCTGCCCGTTGCATGCGCCGACCAAAAGTCCGTTCCAGATAGGAATACGACTGAGGTACAGGGGGTACGATAAAGGGCGGGAGAGGCGAGGCGGCGACAGCATAAGGAACAGAAGGGTCCAGGAGACTTCCCGGATTGCGAGCGTCGAGAGACGTACCGAATGGGTAGCTGGTATTATTGCCGGATAACGGCCGTGATACCCTCTCGACGATGGTTTGAGCATCCGAGGGGCGCGAGGCCACGTTCGGGAACTGGTAACCAAACGGGACCGGATCGGCAGGATTTGGTTCTCTTCGCGGAGTACTTGACTCGTTGCGCACCTCATGGGTGGAGTGGGTACCACTCACTGCCGACCCCCTTCTGTTCGAATTCACGCCTGTCGCCTCGCTACTGCCAGCCGCCGCTGTGGCCGCACTCGGCCCCGAAGACAACACGCCGGGGGGCTGAGAGGGCCACGACGAAATCTCTGGCGAGCTTGAAAACCTCGTCGCGTTCTGCGCGCTAGTGCTAGAGCTGCCAGTGTTCACGCCGTCGGACTCGTTCTCCGGAGCCTGGTCGGCATCCCTGGAAGAGGCATCATCGCTCATCTTCCTCGCCAGGGCGACGAATTTCTCCGTCGTTGCTTGCAACTGCCGTCCAAATTCGGGAGCGGCTGATAGAAGGCCTTGAGAGACGGCAGTGTCATATAAATTCATGAATGCCTTGCTCATCTCTTCATTGGTGTCTTGAAGGACGTTGACCTTTTTCTCCAGAGTCTGGATGGCAGTCTCCTTGCGATTGCGATACGCCCTTTGGGCAAGGCGAATTTGAGTCCGACGACGCTGCACATGCGTTAGTGATGGGTTCACGGGTGTCAACTCGTTGATGCAACAAGATAATAATATTTTATAAGTGAATTATCGAAGTAGATAAAATAAGGTTTTATACAATTGTTGAACGTGAGATTTTAAGTGGGCCACTCTGTGTGAGGGCATCGAGATCTGAGACGCATGAGAGACAGAAAAGAGAGATTGAGATACTTACATCAGCTGCAGTGTCATCTTTCGGTTCAACCCGAGGCCGACCTCTTGCTCTCTTTTTAGATTCCGATGATATTTGTTCCTGGCTCTCTATTGTCCCCACTGATGGTCTCTTCTGTTGTGGTTGTTGTTGTTGTTGCTGTTGATAATGGTGATGTTGAGAATGTTGAGAAAGCACGTCATCCCCGCCATGGTAGGGGGGCGACCTCTGATTTTGGCGATGCGACATGGTTGAAGAGGGCCTTGGGGCCTGAAGAAAGTCACCATCATCGTATTGTTGGGGACTTAAAATGACAGACAGGTCGGTCATAGGTAGCGACCGACCACCCGAGGGTGAATTGTGGGGAAGAAGAAAAAAAGAAGTTGGCTTTCGCTTCCTCCTCCAAGGGGGGGATAGAGAGAGGAGGGGATAAGATTCAACGGCGATGCGGGTGCGGGTTGAGCCACACTTGACTGGAAAAGAGAGGCACGCAACACACAAGGCAGGCAGCAGCAAGAGGCAAACGGGCGGAAGGCGGGAGGACACTGGCAGACGGCGACGATTGGTGACTGGACTTGGCAGATACACACACACGCAGCGGTAAGCTTGAGGTTTTCTGTGCAGTAGCGAGGTCAACTAATAGCGCTGAAGGGGGGTCAGTGTTTAGCGGGTGATTAGCGGGTGAGTAGACGAAGTATTTGGTACTTTCGGATTCTGTTTGTGGTTAGCGGGTTTTGAGGTCCCAGAGACCTGGCACGGGCTCTCCAGCGAGAGATCCTGGAGACGGATTTTGTTAGTGGACAAGTCCGCCGTTCGGGGGCTCCAAGCCTCGGCTGCCAGACGGACAAGAACGTAGAGTACTGTAGAGCTGGACTTGGCGAAAACCAGGACAAATGGAAGGATTTTGGCACTAAAAGACAGGAAACTTCTGGTGCTCAAAACTTCGATCGATATGTCCTTGGATTGCAGGACTAGGTGTAGAACTCTGATGAACCGGCAACTGAGCTAGGGGTATTATAAAAACTACTCTGTATTCGTCGAGGTTGCTGTCAATCGTTGCTCGTGATCGCGGTCCTGATGGGGATTGATTGGCGTTGAATAGAGTCAAACCAGAAAGACCAGACGACGGATTCCAGAGCTCTGTAGTTTTTTATGTTTTTCTTTCGAAGAAGCTGAAAATCGAGAAACGGAAGACGCAAAGAATACTGAAAGTACCATCAATAGCCACGGTGAGAGAGGAAAAGCTTGATTATTTATTCCAAGATAACGCGAGTACACCGCCGGGAAATAAGAAACGTCTGGGCTATCATCCACAAAAAACACACAGGAAGGGAAAAGGGAAGAAGAAAAAAAAGCTAAAAAAGCTATGCTTCTCTCCCCCGGTCTGAGCAGGTGGGTAAAAAGCCGCCATCGTGGAGCATCTGTCGCAAGCGGCCCGAAAATCGAACTTGTCGCGATAGGGGGGGTGTGGTTCCAGGAGTTGACGTCGTTATCATGGTCTCTGTCGTCATCTCCGACTTGTCTTAGCACAGCAGCAGCCGCACAAGGGCATTCCGCGGACGACGAGCAACAAAAACAACATTGAACACAAAGCGTTTTCCTACCCTTCCCATATAACTTCCTTTCTGTCTCCGTCCCCTTCCATTCCTCCATTTCCCAGCTGCTTCCCCCCGCCCGCCCCTTCGGATTCTCTCGATATCTCTCGACATCTCCTACATGGGTAGCTGCGCAATCCGCAATCCCGCACACCCCCTTTCTCCGTCCTCATATGTCAGTTCGTTCCCCTATTCCGAACGTTGTTACTGGAACTGCTGGGACCCGACTGGTTTGACTTGCCCCCCACGAGCCACCATGCGTCGGAGAAAAATGGCTGTTGTTGAATTAGACGATTACTCATCTTTCCCCATCCTTGCGTGATTGCGGCGCTTAAGGTGCAGTCGCGTACCCCAGCAAAGTACTGAGGTACCTAGAAGTACCTGTCAAGAGTCGTCAAGCGTCCTCAAGCGTCGTCAGAGAATAATTTCAACGCTTCGGCTACAACCCTTTCACATTCATCCAGATTCCAGACTTCCCCCCCGGTCACTCTCTTCCATTTCCACCCCCCAGCTTCGGTTCGGGCTGGTCCCCCTCGGACCACGGCTCATCATATCGGTGTGTCGTGGCCTGGCCTGGCCCGGCCTGGCTGACCAGTTGGAACGATGAGAAAGCGGACCACATGTCATGTAATTGGATGTGTTTGACGGGCTGGATGTCACCTGCATGAATATTCGTTCACCTTGAGAGGACAAGGCCGGCGGTCCCACCCCCTGGTCAAATAGGGAGTAACAGTCATGCAAGTTGTGCTTGTCCGCCGGACAGGAACGGCGAGGGTGAAAGGCTGGTTACCGGTTTACCTTTCTTTCGAAATATATGCGAGGTACGAAGGTCGCTACAAAAAGTCATTACCTAACCCACATTATACAATAATAAAATAACCTTATTAACTAAATAAAATTATATTAAATAATATCTTCCCCCTCCTTTATATATTTTTACCTTTTCTTATATTTATTATTACCTTCTAACTTAATAATTTATTATATATAATAAGATATCTTCTTAATCTAAGCTTAGATTTATAATTATAGTAATTTATTTTAAATCTCTATCTAACCCTTTATAATATTAACTCTTATATAATATCTTCTTTAATAAACTTTTTATTTTATCTATATTTATATATATTTAATTATATTTAAATTAAGTAAATTTTTTAACTATAGAAGATATAAAATACTATAGTTATTAAAAATACTTTACTAAAAAAAGTAGATATAAGCTAGTATATTATCTTTTTAGATAAGGATATCTAAGTAAATTATTTAATATTTTTTTATAAAAAAAAAGTATAGTTTTAAAATATAGTAATAATATTAATATTAATTAATTCTATTTTTATTTTTTTATATAAATTTATTATTTTTATTATAAAATATTATTATAGTTTTTTTCTAAATTTATTATAAAAAGTAAAATAATAAATATTTATAATTAGCTTTTACTTAGCTTTTAACTTTAGTTTATATTCTTTATTAAACTAAATAATTACTTTTTTAATATAGTAATATTTAATAATAGTCTCTAAAACTTAGTAAAACTTAAAGCTTTTCTTATTATAAAAAAATAAGTTCTAATATAAAGATATACTATATATAGCTCAAGAAAAGGCTAGTATTACTAAAAATTATATTTTTAAAAATCAATTAATAATATAAACTTTAACTTACTTCCTAGATTTCCTTATATACTATAGAAACCCCTTTTTTCTCTAATTACAGTCTAACTAAGCTCTATA